ATCTCTGTCTGCTTGAACAGCAGCAGGGCCTGGACTGACTCTTCGACCCGCAGCGGCTGGCAGGCTCCTGCTGTTGTCTGTAGACAGTGTGTACTAGGAACGATTGCGACACACTCCTCACAGAGCAGAGCCTGCACCCAACGCCCCGCAGGTCTTATCAGTGAGGACATTCAAACAAGTCCTGGCCCTTACAAGGAAAAGCCACAGACACACACGAGGGCTGAAACTCTACTGACATTGATTTTCCACTGAACAGATTACACTCTGTGTTTGCTTGATTCGTTTACTTAAACTCCTACTCAGATGAGCTGATATGCACAAATCATGAACCCGTTTGGATCCCCCCCCCCCAGATGCATTGCTTTACATTAGTAAATCCAGCACAAATGCACTTTAACCCTAAGATGCAATGTTTTAGAACAATTTTAAAATAATTGTGATTCTTAGGAACCTGTTTTATTCATTGCACAACTTCACTGATAAATGTTCAAGTAATCATGTTTTCCCACCTCAGACTAAACGTACCAAAGCTGTAACAACATGTGCCCCTAACATTTCGTTTACAGTAACAAAAATCATTTGCATTAATGAGTACCTATTCCAAACTATAAATATAATCTGATTAAGAATACATTACTTGTGGTAGTGTCGTACTACAAAAAAACAAAAAACAAAAACATGTTTGCACCAATCCTGCTACATTCAGCATGTTCTGTGGTTGAATGTTATGGGGTCAAAGGTCAGGGCAAAAACAGATAATTAGGCTACGCTAAATGTCATTATTTACATTCTTGTATCCTGTTCCAAGAACAATACGATTAAATCATGTAACAAAGTTCAGTATCCTGTCAATTACACAGCAAATCATGAGGACGTGTGTAGCACACAGATGCTGCTGTTTCCAGAGTGACTCCACACATGCTCAGAATGATCAAAGTCTCACAGATCTATCTGTCAAATCTGCTATAACAGCAGTTCTTGATAATGATGGAATGTTTTTCCACAAGCTCACTATCAAAGCCAAACATTTTTAGAACAAAAAAACAATTATATATATATATGTGTGTGTGTGTGAGTGTGTATAAAAGAACAAATGATAAGACTACACTGTTTTGTCAGGTCACCTAAAAATGTGTGTGTGTGACAAAATCTCAAAATTTATCCATGTCAAAAACATTATATTAATATGACTGAATTAGCCAATGTCAACAAAAGTCATATCTAAGGGTGAGATTTGATGGAAATAACAATTGTACAATGTTCAGTTGTGTGACTGAGAGAAAGACATATGATATGTTAAATGAGGATGTGACTGACCTGAACCCATGTGTTTGTGAGGTTTGGTGATCAGTTTTATATGTGAACTAGCATGCGTGCGTGTGCTGACTCCCTCGATCTACCTTTGAGCTCTGCGGTGAGGGGTTGAGGTTCAGCTCCAGACACAGGCCCCCTCGCGCTCGGCCCTATAAAAGAGCCGTCTCTGGCCCTGTCCTTCAGTCTCTTCCCAGACCAGCTACAGTAACAGGTAAGCAGCCCAGCCTCGGACGGTATAGCGTCGCTCGGGATAGAGTTTCATCTGGAAACAACTGGAGAGTTATGGACCGCTAGCAGAAAAATTGAATTTTTATCAAATTATACATGTAACAGCGATCTGTGTTCAATGTTTTGGTAGTTCATCTTTATTGTTAAAAGTACCAAAAGTAATAATTTTGTTTAGTAGACTAATGATGAGCCCTTGCTGATGAAATACGATCAGTCATTGTAGACATGTAAGGCCTCGATGGCTCCGGCCAGCTTTCTGCTCCTCAGCTGTATGACTGAGCATCAGCTTAGACCGAAGTTCTCCAGGTCCACACCAGTGTGTCCAAGCTAATCCAGGGATTTGAGATTATGCAGTGGCTGAGAGCTAATCTGCTTCTGAAGCCTTTGTAACTCTGTCTAATCTGGGATGAGTTAGAGTCCAGTCTAATAGGCTGACATGTGCTGTAGGGTAAACTATCCCGAGTAATAGCTGCAGCCCCAGTGTCCACTTTCCCTTTGAGTAGATGTATTTATTGTGATTAACAACGTCTGATGTGTTTGTTTGTTCTTTTTGACCCAGATCATGATGAGGTTCGTAGTCCTCGCCCTCGCTGTTTTGCTGGCAGGTACATAAAGCCCTTTACTCCTCTCCACACCGTCAAAAAATCCATTTCTTAATCAGCATTTTTGTCTTGTTTTCCAGTTTAAAATGTAAACCCAGATAAATTTTGTTAAGATACTAAGTCTTGTTTTCAAAGAATACATGTACATATCTTGTTTCTAAACCTTCTAGTATTTATTCTGGTTTTAAGAGGTTCTTGCTAGTTTATGCCAGGGGGGTAAGAAATAAACTTGAAATATTTTCTAATATCTCACAATTTAGCTTTTAATTTAAAATGATCAAAAGATGTTTAGATATTTTTACTGAGAAACCAGAGTAAAATAGTGATTAAGAAATGAAAATGATTTTTTTTTGCTACTGTATTCAGTTATCTGTATTCAGATTAAACTGTAACTCTATAACTCTAACTGAACACATCAAGCTCGGCCCTTGCTCCAGACTCAAGCGTCTGAATCTGCGTGTGCTTTGCTCAGGCTGCCAGGCCCGATTCCTGCAGGACGAGCCGCCGTCGCAGCTGGAGCACGTGAAGTCTGGGCTCCAGGTTTACGCTGATCAGCTGAAGCAGGCGGCGCACCAGGCCCTCACTCACCTCAATGACACCGAGTTCAAAGACTACAAGTAAGAAAGCGCAAAGACAGCACATAGCGGTCTGGATAGAGTGGCTGTATCAGGGATCAGCAGGGGCCGCTCAAAAGCAGTTTTAGTTCTGTTATCGGAGTAGACATGGCTTTACTTTAAAGAGTCGATTTTGATTTCATGCTTTGAGTAAGTTTAAGTAATTCTCCACATTACATCTTAAGAAGGTGCACAATGTCAACTATTCCAGTGACAGCTAACCTAAATCCTCTGTTTAGGGAATTCCTGGGCCAGTCCGTGGACAACCTCCACGGCTACTTTCAGGACGGCTTCAAAACCATCAGCCCATACGGCACCCAGATGCTGGACGCCACCAAAGACAAGCGCGAGAAGCTGATCAAAGATGTGGAGGAGCTCCACAAGAAGATCGAGCCCATGTGCAAGGAGCTGAGGCAGGTGCTGGAGAAGCACTTCCAGGAGTACAGTGACGAGCTGAAGCCTTTCCTTGAGGAGTACTTGGCCAAGCAGCGCCAGCACATGGAGGAGATGAGGACCAAGCTGGAGCCTGTGGTCAAGAGCTTGAAGGAGAAGATCGGAACCAACTGGGAGGAGACCAAGTCCAAGCTGGTGCCCATCGTGGAGGCTGTGCGCGAGAAGGTGACGGAGCATCTGCAGGACCTGAAGAACCTGCTGGAGCCCTACATGCAGGATTACAGGGAGCAGATGGAGAAGAGAGCGCTGGACTTCCGCCAGAGCGTGAGTTCTGGAGAACTGAGGAAAAAGATGGACGAGTTGCGCACGCAGGTGACACCTCACTTCGAGGCTATTATTGCAGCCGTCCAAATGGCTGTGAACAAGGAGTAAACCAACCCTTTTTTACACCATCTCACCCTCCCTTCTTCCTTGGCACCTGCACCGAGTACCAACACCTGAAACATCGTCATCCAGAAGGCTTTTCTCCGAGCTTAACTGCCCTTCGCTGAAGCACACACACTCACACACGCTCACAATACACTCACATGCACTTTTGACAAATTCCCACAACTACAAACACAGCTACGAATAAAAGAACACTGAAACCTGTTCATTCAAAAATGCTTAGCAAAAATCCTTTGTTAAGCTGCTTTTTGTTAAAAACTGATTATCAATGTTCAATGAAATAAAATAATACAAATAAAAACGTTCATACTATTTCTTCGATGTCTAAATGTGTCTTTTTTTTAAGGGATGTTTTGTGAAATTATATGGAAACACACAAATTCATAAATACCAAGACCTAAAAATATATATTATTTTGCACAATAAAAGAATAAATGTATAAATTAGGAAATTATAATTTTGTAGTCATGGGCAATTAAAAATCCTTATCCATTTAATTCAAATGCACAACAATGGCCTTAAACGGAACAGAGTTTTAGATCTGATTAATGAGTTGATTACAAAAATGTGTCAGCAGTAATCAATAGATCCTGCTCTAGTGATCTGTTACTTATTAGTAACAGGGCAAGATGGATGCGGTGGCCATATTAATACCCCCAGGACAGACCATGTCAACACCAGACCATACTATTTCGCTGAACATATTAATGAGAAACACAGTCGTGTGCTATTCAGGCTACGACATATTGACAAGTTAAACATGATAATCCATTTTCAGAACCATTCTCTTGTGCCTTGATTTGCATTAAAATCCAAGAATATTATCAGAAATGGTTTTTGGTAAACACACGATCATGAGGAACAACTGTGATATTAAAGAGACCTCATTTTTAGATTTTTCCTTCCTATGGGACAACACAAGAATGTCATAAGAAGAGCATATGATTCAGCATCGTGGAAATGCTTCATAAATGTGCATGTGCGATTATTAACAGATCCGTCTTCAGTGCTGTCAGGACCTCAGTGTTCAGTCTCTGTGAGAGAGCAAGCCTGGATCAAAGGTCGTTATAAGCGTTTTCCATCAGAACAATGGTGGTAAAAGTCCAATTAGCTGTTTGTTGAGTGCTGGAGATCAATCACTGCCACAGACCGACTGATTCTTCTGTCCGCAGTCAATAAAGCTGGCTGATGTATATGTAATTAACAAATACTTGAGTGTAATACAGAGTAAGTTTGTGGGCATCGTGGGTCATGGGCTGTGAGAGAGTGATATGGATGAGGTGCAGAAATCCTGCATATTAGATCTCTCGGGTTATATAAAGGCCGGACTGATCCGTGGTGAGCCACAGACGCATGGAGTGTCAGGAAGACATTGGACCAGGATTCCTGAGTACAGCGGCAATGATGAACGGTAATATATTTAGATTTTACTTTATTTGTACCTTCAAACAATCATCAATCAATTAGTAATTTTTACATTTAGTCATTATTTTTTAAATGAAGTTTTACATCACAATATGAAAGTCGGCTGCCGTTTTCATGTTATGCATAAACCTCATACAATATCTGACCTGATATTTCTTTTGCTGTGCCTCACGTATCTGCAGTCTCCGAGTCGTCTCGGGCTGGTTCTCCAGACGCCGGCTGGACCTGCAGCAAAGCTCCTGAAGTGGCCAGCGTCAGAGTTCAGCTGGAGATGCAGAGCCTGTGGCAGCAGTTTGACCAGCTGGGCACTGAGATGATTGTGACAAAAGCTGGAAGGTTTTACCAGATATCACACCTTTGCTAATACAGTCTCTTCGTAGCATTATGTTAGCAATTCCATGTGTACCGTGTCTGAAGAAGGAGTGAGTGCTGACGCTGTTGTGGGGTTTTTTGAGGTTCTTGGACTCTGTTTGCAAACCCAAGCCAAAGAGCCTCACAAACGGTGCAGGAGTCACACACTAAACTTCAGTGGTTAAGGTTAGGGATCTGAGCAATGGTAATAGTGATTATACCACTACTAAACTGTTAGTATTATTATTATTTGCATTATGATAAGCCTGTGACCTGCATATATTGACTGCTGTTGTTTGTTTTCATACAGAAGGATGTTTCCTACATTTCAAGTACACATTTCAGGCATGGACCCTGCTGCAGAATATGTTCTCCTGCTGGACTTTATTCCTGTCGATGACAAACGATACAGGTATCAGATCAGAAAAAAGGGTTCTGAACATGTTTAATGGTTTTAATTTTTGGTGAAGAGTCAACAAAAGATGCTTTGTTTAAATGGTTTGGTCACACTTTATTTTAAGGACCAATTCTCACTATTAACTAAGAGTTTTCTCTCAATAAACTCCTAATTATTGCTAACATGAATAGTTAGTAAGGTAGTTGTTAAGTTTAGGTATGGTATGGATTAAGGATGTAGAATATGGTCATTCAGAATGAGACATTATGTGCTTTAAAAGTACTAATAAACAGCCAATGTGCTAGTAATATGCTTGATAATAAGCAACTCATTAATAGTGAGAATTGGTCCCTAAACTAAAGTGTTACCAATATTTTTTTGCCTAGACACTAAAAACAACCTATTCTGATGCCACAACAGGACACTAAAAACAATTCAAACTCAGATCTTACGGCACAAACAAGAAACTTATTTCTTCATGCTTTAAGACCCCCTAATATCACAGTTGTGGATTTTAACAACATTATTTGCTATCATTGACAAACACGATTACATTGTGCTAAACTAGTGTTGATGTAGTTTCACAGTTAACTACTCTTGTCTGCCTTTACTGTATCCTGAATTAAATGTCTTGTATTGCCCAATCAATGTAGTGATGTACGTTTAACGTGATGATGTACACTCTATAAAAGCAACAGAATTGAGTTTTTAATATGATTATAGAATATAATTAGAATATTTGTAATTTTAGTGCACAGACCTCCTGCATTCCATGAACCCCAGCTGAAGGACCTGCTCCTTTCTTGATTTGAGAGCAGGCATGTTTTGGACGTTCTTGATGTTCCTGTGTGCAGGTATGCTTTCCACAGCTCCTCCTGGCTGGTAGCTGGACGCGGAGATATAGCCGTCCCGGGACGAGTGCACTTCCATCCGGACTCTCCCGCTCGAGGAGCGCAGTGGATCAAACAGACCGTCTCATTCGACCGCCTCAAACTCACCAACAACCTGCTGGACGATAACGGCCATGTAAGACACACACACACACACACACACACTCACACACACACACACACACACACACACACACTCACACACACACACACACACACACACACACACACTCACACACACACACACACACACACACACACACACTCACACACACACACACACACACACACACACACACTCACACACACAGACACGGCAGAGATTCAAACACCTGTGCATGTGTGTGTAGATGATCCTGAGCTCCATGCACCGGTATCAGCCGCGGCTGCATGTGATTCTGGTGGACCAGAGCCGCGACAGTCAGCGCTTCGCTCACCGCAATTTCTGCACCTTCAGCTTCCCAGAGACCCGCTTCATCGCAGTCACCGCCTACCAGAACCACCGGGTACCAGACACCCAACATCCATCCACACACATGAGCCCAGGACTACCACGCAGGATTCAATTAGTTATTGAGCTGTTATTAAGCTTACATGTCTAGGCTAGCAACTTTTAATATGTTTATTTATCCATTTAAATGATATTCAGGGTCCCTGGGTTGGTTTCTCAGTCAGGATGGTCCTGAAATGGACAATGTTGAGATTTGTGTTTAAATAGTTTATGGTGTCCTGTTATAAGAAACTGTTGCTCATGGTTTGGTAATGACTCAAGAATTCAAGTACGAATCCTTCAGATGTAATTACTAATCATTCGGAACAGTATTCTAGAGTAAAAGGCATGAGAACTCCCTATAGTGACTGCAGCCACTGTAAGCGTTTGAGGTTTTTGTGAGGTTTTGGATAGCAATTCCTTCCTTCTGATGGATTTGGTAACGCTTGAGTCATTATTAGTAAGTAACCATAATCTTCCAAATAATTAGTAATTCCTTTAGGACGATGTAGTAACACCTGAGTCATTATCAGTGGGATACCATCATTCTTACAATAGCTATTAATGATAATCTAATATTAACCTAACCATTCATAATGGAAAAAAAAAACATATTGCTAGTGAACATATTTCTATATTTCTGTGAGGCACGTTAAATACATAAATCACTGTATGGCCGATGACTCAAAATGTTCCAGTATCTCAATATCTCTTCAGTGAGAATTGAGGAACTAAGCTGCCTTCTCTTTCTTTAAGTAGTATGAAAAAAATCACTACAAATAAACATGAAGTTCAGAGTGTTAGCCACAAGAGTAAGATTCTGAAAACTGCATTTTAGAAAAACCTTTATTTAACATTATTTATAGTTAATAAATATTTCCGTACAGGACAGACAAAATTATATCTATCTATCTATCTATCTATCTATCTATCTATCTATCTACCTACCTACCTACCTACCTATCTATCTATCTATCTATCTAATCTGTTAGAACTGTGTAACTGGTTCAGTGAATGAACAGTTATTTATCTGTAGCTGCAGTGAATCTGATGCTCATGTCTGTCCTGTCACAGATCACCCAGCTGAAGATCGCTTGCAACCCCTTCGCCAAAGGCTTTCGTGCAGCTGATTCTGAAAACAGGTGAACAATTATAGTGTAAAACATTATACCAGAGTCTGCAAGTCCTGAGATCAAGCCTGACTGTGGCTGTTTCTGGCTGAATGAAGGACCATCACCTTCAGCTCAACCTTGCAAAGACAGAACTGCTCGTGGTCTCAGCCAAACCATCACAACCTCTCTATACAGCTGGGTTCATCAACCATAACTCCTGCCAGGACAGCTAAGCTTCACAGACCGTAGTGCTACAACGGCCCGGTCCTGCAGGTTTGCCTTATACAACATTAGGAAGATTAGACCCTTCCTATCAGAGCAGACCACACAAATCCTTGTCCAAGCTCTTGTTCTCTCCAGACTGGACTATTGTCTTCTGGCATGCACTATCAAGCCTCTGCAACTGATCCAGAATGCAGCAGCGAGAGTGATCTTCAATGAGCCGAAGAAAGCTCACGTCACACCTCTCTTCATCAGGTTACACTGGCTACCAGTAGCTGCTCGCATCAAATTCAAGGCACTGATGCTTGCCTACAAGACCACCACTGGTGCTGCACCAATAAACCTAAACTCGCTAGTTCAGACCTACGCGCCCTCCAGAAGCTTGTGTTCTGCAAGTGAACAACGCCTCGTGGTTCATCCCAAAGAGGCTCAAAATCACTCATGGACCTTTTCCTGGACTTTTCCCAGCTGCTGGAACGACCTCCCGATCTCAGTCCCAGCAGCTGAGTCTTTAGCCATTACCAAAAACATCTAAAGACACATCTTTTTCACCATCACCTGACCAACTAATACTAGCACTTACCTATTCTATTCTATCCTATCCTATCCTATCCTATTCTATTCTATTCTATTCTATTCTATTCTATTCTATGCTATGCTATTCTATGCTATGCTATTCTATTCGCTCTAATTTATTTAAAATTTAAAAACAAAACACCTTGCTATGCGTTTTGTGCTAGACTGAGTTTTTTCACAGCACTTGTATACTGTTGCTCTCTCGTTGGTCTGATTGCTTCTATTGTTCTCATTTGTAAGTCGCTTTGGATAAAAGCATCTGCTAAATGATAAAATGTAAATGTAATGCAATGTAACACGCAGCTCTTCTCATGGCATGAAATCTGTACTGTATGGTTATTGTGACTTTCTGTAATTGTTCTGCTATATCTACAGTTGTTCTCTGATGAGCATGATTATGCTTTCTGATCTTAGACATTCAGCTCAGAGTCAGTCAGAATCTGCCGGCCTGTCTTTACCGTGGAGTGTGTTTGAGGGATCGTCTGCGTGTGAAGACCAGCGGCTACAACACCAGCCTCACCGTGAGCTCATGTCACATCTCTAACATTTTGGGGAATATGTAGACGACTCATTGCCGAGGCTGATTTCATAGCTAGCATTGTACATATCCCAAACACACAACAATTAAAAATATGTTTTCACACTTTTTGAATAATTTGACAACATTACAAGTTGTTGTAAATGATGAACATGAAAAAATTTTCTTTGCATTTTTGTTCATGCATTTGAATGCAAGTTGCAATTTTGCACAAGTTGTCTTTAACTGTAAGCAGTCTCTGTTGTTGAGAAGCCTGAATGTTAATGCACACGCCAGACTCTTTATTTCGGCCTCTGCTTGTCTCTGTTCTTCAGGCCGGTCAGACGCTCATGATCCAGCTCTACAGACAGCGATGACTGAGGCGGCGCTCTCGTACGGAGCAGGGACGGACCGCAGGGACGGAGGGTCTCAGGGCCATTTCTACAGTGCTCCTGTGTTCGTCACGGTGCCCTGTCAGTGGGACGGCCCGAGCAGAGCAGACAGAAGCCTGATCGGATAACCCAGTCTTTATCAGCCTTACACTCTAAACATGTTGTGTCAGGAAATCTAATTCATTCATTCACATCAAATAACATCACCACCACCAACAATAATACTAAATTAAAATCAAATAAATTAATTGAAATGGTCAGGTCAGCTAGAAATAGCTCCTTATGATAACAATATGTTTACAGGTTAGATTTATTACATTATACGTTAATCAAAATAAAGGCTCTGTGTTCTGTGAACTGTATAACTGTGTTCATGTTCATGCTTACATTAATGCTTACCGACTACCATGCACATTTTTGTTCTGATATTGATAATAGAAGATGTTTAGAAGATGTATTAAAATACGCATATGGATTGATTTTGGCATGGAGCATTTTGATACAGCATTGCCATTATTTTTGTTTAAATATAAATATGTTTCAAAGACATGTAATCACAATTACATAATAACACTAAAACTGAACAATACATTTTATGTGTTTTCTCCCTTCTTTTTACTCATGCAAGAATCTTGCAATAGCAGTAAAATACTGTGGTAAATGACCATGGTATTCATGCAGCTCAAAGCATTGTGGTATTTCCAGCTGATAATACCACTGTGCTGTGATATCAGTAGCAATGCTGAGGCATGAAAACACAAAGACACAATTCAAGAATATAAAACTATGTTAACTATGTTACACTGTTATGCAGTACAAGAGGAAAATGGTCTGATGAATAAACTCCAAGCCCCATGATGCATCACTCCAGTGTCTGTGTCAGTGCGCTAGTGTAAGGAGAATCTGATTCATTTAGCGAATCGGCTCGTTTGGGCGTTTCGTTTCAATAAAATTATTCACCACGTTCCATAAATATTTTGCTAAATATCGATGCATTTTTTTTTTATAGGAGACCTGTAGCGTGTAATGTGCGTTGTTTGTGGATCCACCTAACAATTTTACTTTAAACCACTACAATGTTCTTTCAGTCGAGTGATTCATTCGCTCAGTAAGAACCATTCAAAAGAATTGATTCACATGAATGATTCGTTCAGGAGTCGGACATCGCCACAGTGCGGCGGATGCGGGGAAGATGGAGGAGGAGGCAGGAGCTGTGTGAGGACACAGAGATGCGGATTATGAAGGGTTGAGCGTCAAATAATCAAAGCGCAAAAGACGAGGCTAATGGACGCGGAGACGAGCACATCTCAATGGCACACATTCAACGACAGGACTCTTCCCATCTGGATCTAGATAGATAGAATGATCATCTCATTATAACAGCGCATTTCTTAAAGAGCGTGCGGGAAGCTTTTGCAACAGGACATCGACTACTGTATTTCCATATAGTAATTCTCATAAACAAGAACGAGGAATGTGGAAAACGGGGATGATTGTGAATGCGGAGGATGGAGAAAGCGAAGGATCATAAACGTGATCCTGAATGCGCTTTAGTGCTCGCAGGGATTCGGCATCTGCGCGTTCTGTGCGTTATGACGCCCTAACAGTCCTCGCAGATCCGCGTTCTGAGCAAACACAGCGATCCGGAGGCTTTGGAAGATGAGGCTCCCGCGTCTGCTTCTGTGCTCGTGGGCATTCGTGGCCCTTCTGCCGGTCACCTCCTCAGTGCTGCTCCGCGTCCCCCTGCGGCAGGGGCCCCTCTCACAGCCCGCGGCCCCCCGGGGCCCCTCGAGGTCACGCAGAGCAGCCAGTGGCATGAATGTTGTAAACATGATTGACAACCTTCGCGGAAAGTCAGGCCAAGGGTATTACATTGAAATGGCCGTGGGTGCACCAGCTCAGAAGGTGAGACGCAACCGAGAGGCTGTGCTTCCCATACTGTTTCTGTAGTATATGGATAGCTGATGTCGTTTAAGGGCATTCACATTTTCGATCATATTTTGTCTTAACATTATCTATTCAGATTTGTATTTATTTATTTAATTTAAATTGCAGAAATTGTCTTGCAGCAGTAAAATACAGAAACGTATCCAAAATAATGTGGACAGAAATATATTTAAAACATTTTGGATTTATTTAATTTAGAATCTGTTTTCAAAAAACGATTGAGAGAGAATTTGCATATTACCTTAAATAAAGAAATAATAGATAAATAAAAAATAGTAATATTTTTCATTATTTTCTGCTTTGTTTAGATCTGTGTGTGTTATGGAAATATTGCATATTGTATACTGTATGGGATTTGTAGTGTGGGACGGTTCAGTTTTCATAGCTCCTGCTACACTGTCTCACTGTTGTCTACTACATATACACTACTACAGACCTACCTGCCACCGTTTTGCTATAAGAAACATATATGTACAAATAATAATCATCCTATTAAAACGTTTTCTCAATTTATGCATTTCTGGGAATGGAACCCATGACCTTGGCATTGCTAGTGTTGTGCTTTAGCCACAGGAAAACTTGATCTAAATTCTGACAAAGTGAGAAAATCACACTTTTTTTCAGGCAGCGGCAGATCTCTGCTGAGCATATGCTGAGCTAGTATTACAATTGTTACAATTGTCTCTTGTCTAGGGCTTCAAACACAAGATTAAAATGATGTGGAAGGAAATGAATGAGTGTTTTTGCACAGCAAACATCTTTAGCTGACTGCTGTCACATTTTGACTACTGCGGGTCAGTGAGGTCACATGATGTATGAGGAAGAGGAAGGCCTGTGGCGTAGGGGTCGCTGGAGGAAGCGTGTGCGCAGGGACGAGGTTAAGAGCGGTCTCTGAGACGCAGGATACAGATTCAGTGAGCAGAAATAACAGCAAGCCCACAGGACTAATCAATGACACGAGGAGTCAGCTCGATTCCTCCTACAAAAGAGACAGAGAGCAGAGGAATAGACAGACAGGTGAAGAGAAGGAGAAGCGCGTTATCATTATCAAAAGCACTGTTGAATCTAAAGCATTTGTCTAACAGCTTTCATATGGAGAGGTACGACTCCGTACAGTCTTGGTGTAGCTCTGTGAATCTCTATATAATATGAGATTCAGTCAACCTGCTCTCAGCATCAGCTGTTAAAAAAGCCTCCATTAGCTGATGTTAAGAGCAGAGCGACTGATGGCATTATTATAGAGTCTAACGAAGGCAAGTGACAGAGTTAACTACCTCAGCAAGACTCAAAATATTCATTATCTATTATCAAAGCTGCCGGTTAGACTCTGAAATGGTCATTGTGTGGACACAGTAACTGTCTGATCTCAATCATTTCAAAATGACTGATTACATGGCCTGTCTGTCTGCTAAAACGTGCTTGAGTTCTCAGCAGTCCAAAGATGTCTGGCAGGTTTGTCTCGTTCTCAGGTTTCTTCGTCTCTCTCCCTCAGCGTGTATCACGTTTTGCTCAGTCAGGGAGTCTAACGCTGAGAGGCTGATCAATCATGCATGTCATTCTTAAATACCCCTTCACAAACACACAAACACCCACCAGGTCACAGAGCAATAGTCAGCTGAAGACCGGAGCCACATCTAGAGACTCGAGGGTGGGCTCGCGATCGTATTGCATTACGATGCCCCAAAAACACGCCCTGTCAACGGCGAGCACCACTCATGATATCTGCAGTTATTCATTTTCTGTGATCGCAGACACACCTGAAGGTACAGTGTGTTCCCTTTGTGTTCCAGCTGAACATCCTGGTGGATACGGGCAGCAGTAACTTTGCAGTAGGCGCAGCTGCTCACCCGTTCCTCCACAGATATTACCATCGATCTCTGTGAGTACTACTAACTATTCACACACAGACGGGACATAATGTATGTTACATATCAACAAGCTGTACCACAAACTTCTCAAGAGTCATTGTGTGTGTGTGTCGACAGCTCGTCGTCGTACAGAGATCTGGGCCGCAGCGTGTATGTGCCGTACACACAGGGCCGCTGGGAGGGCGAGCTGGGCACGGACCTGCTGTCCATTCCTCACGGGCCCAACGTGTCTCTGAGGGCCAACATCGCTGCAATCACCCAGTCTGACCGCTTCTTCATCAACGGATCTAACTGGGAGGGCATCCTCGGGCTGGCCTACGCCGAGATCGCCAGGGTGATCTTTCTGTAGCTGTCATAACCTCACAGAGCTTGATGAAGAGGCGCTTCTGACCGGGTTCTGTGTCTTTCAGCCGGACGAGACTCTGGAGCCGTTCTTCGACTCTCTGTTGAGGCAGACCAGCGTCCCAGACGTCTTCTCCCTGCAGCTCTGCGGAGCGGGCTTCACACAGAACTACAGCGCCGGCAGCTCCACTGTAGGGGGCAGTATGGTGAGAGAACAGGGGAAAATGGGGAAAGTAGAGGATTTCCATGCCAGAAATGGTTAACTGACCCTGAAGTTCTATCATTAAGATAGAGAGAGATGTTTTGCATATTTTCCCACATGCTCTGAATGAGAATCAGACTGCCGAGCCCTGAAAAGACAAGAATACGCTGATAAAAATATCATAGAAATAGTCCATATATGATTTGTGTGCTTCTGAAGTTATAGGATAACTGTGTGAGGAACAGACCAAAACTGCAGCTGTATGAAATATTTTTACTTTTTTCTTTTCTTTTTTTTTGTAGACTTTATGGCCTTTATCCTTTTTGGAGCTTGTCGGCATGAACATTGTGCTTAACATCTCCTTTGTGTTTGAGTAAACAATGACAGTATTTTAATTTTTAAATAAATTAACCCTTCCCATTAGTAAATCACATACTTACACTGAAAACATTTGGCAGTGAAAAACAAAAATTGTAAGAAACAATAAAATAGTATTTTCTTGTAAAACAGTCCAATAATATATATATATATATTTTTTTTTTACAGTGTGCCATGTGGAGTTAAACAGCTTTATGTAATTTGAAACAGAACAACTTCAGTGGCATACTATAAAAGATTGTGTTGGTTCTTCACAGATTATTGGGGGAATCGATCCGTCTCTGTATGTTGGCGAGCTGTGGTACACACCAATCAGACGAGAGTGGTATTATGAGGTCATCATCGTGCGCATCGAGGTCAACGGACAGGATCTCAATATGGACTGCAAAGAAGTGAGAACAACTCTCCTGGGTTTGCCATGAAGCAGTTATTCCTTTTGAGAAAACTGACTTCACAGATGCATGTTCAGAGTCTTCAAGCACATGCACTTTGATGTGTCATGGGCTGCTTCCTAAAAATACCAAGCTGTTGCTGTTTTCACATGCCTTTATATAGAGATTTTATTGATTTACTCACGACTCAAATCCAGACAATCTTAAAATATGAAAATCCATTAACTATTATTACATTTGTAAAACTATGACCTAAACAAAGACTACAAGAAAGATAAATCATTTCATAATGTTTAAATTACATCTGGTCCTTCGTTATTTATAACCAGACCAAAATGTTTGCCTTTAGTAAGGCTCAAAAAAAGCTAGTATACTTTGTATATAAAAGTATACTGTAAGTGAAGAGAATTATTGAGATGAAATATGAGTCGTTTTGCCAAATTATGCAAAAATTGTAAAAATATTATTTAATTGTATTTTGAATGCATATAATTAGCATTAGCACGACAAAGGAGTTAGCCATTTTATTCCAGACATTTTTAACCATCAGAACACCATCAAACAAAAAAACAATTTAAAATGTGATGGAAATATTAAACTTCGCCTCTTATGCATGTATGCCACGTGTTGGTGATTACCAGCGGGCACCTTGATATCAGTTTAACATCAAATATTAGTCAAGACTTGATCAAGATGCTGTGACATCATTTTAAATTCAGTTTGGACGGCGATATCTTCCAGGGGTCGCTGGGTGGAAACAGGAAGCTAATCCCACACTGAAACTGGTTTTATGTACATGTGGGCCAAATTTACATCAAACCAACTTCATGCCTGTTTTTGATGTCAGTTTGATTTGCACATTTGACCTGTTTTTTTTAGGTAAATTTTGATGTCAATTTGATGTCTTTTCAACATCAATTGCCCACTGGGTTGTTAGAAGACCTGAATTGAATTGAATTGAATTGGATTGAATTGGATAAGCTAGTAGGTGTGTGAAAAGTGCATTTTAAACTAGTCTATTTCAAAATGTCCATAAAGCCAAAACTACATACAGTTGAAGAAACATTTATGTATTTTCTCTTTGTACTTTTCCAGTTGAACAGTTTTTATTTATTAAACAGAGGTAAAGTAAAAGCAAAGCTTCTCATTGTTTCTCTCTGTCTATCAGTATAACTATGATAAAAGTATCGTGGACAGCGGCACCACAAACCTGCGTCTCCCTCGTAAAGTGTTCCAGGCGGCTGTGAAGGCCATTGAAGCAGCTTCATCGGTCGGTGTATATCGTCTGTGTTGGGCTCATTTTTGAACATGCTGAACGTTCTGGGTTTTCTGGCTCATCTGGCTCTTTTCCCCACAGACTGAACAGTTTCCCTCAGGTTTCTGGCTGGGCGAGCAGCTGGTGTGTTGGCAGGCGGGCAGCACACCCTGGCACATCTTCCCTGTCATCTCTCTCTACCTGATGAGTGAAAACACAAACCAGTCTTTCCGCATCTCCATCCTGCCACAGGTACTTCATTCTGCCATCTGAGTGATGTGACTAAAACCAGTTTAATACACGTGGAAATGTCTATAAGTTCATCTAATGAGTGAAATACTTGAAATGAAAGGTACTTGTTATTTAATACTCTTTTTGTTTGGACATTGAAAATAAATTCAATATAAATATACATTCACTTTTATATGCTAGCCTGCCAAACATGAACACGAAACTATCTGCCTGTAACACTGTATCCCACAGTTCAATGCAGTTCTCTCACATTTACCAGTTACAATCACTCTCCCATGTGGAGGAGCGGGAGCTCGTTTCTGTACCACCAGACATGATGCTGTCTCTATTCCCTCGAAGGATGAGTTTTGTCCGTTACTCCCTGAAACAAAACATGAACAATATATCCACAGCCAAAAGAGCGAACTTCAACTCGACTTAAAAACTTATGAAGAGTTACAAATGTCAGTGTCAGCTTGCATGTTGAAGGGATAGTTCACCCCAAAATGAAAATTACATCATAATATACTCACCTTCAAGTTGTTCAAAACATTCTTCAAAAGAAGAATTTGAATAATGTTGGTAATCATACAGTTAATTATAGCTATTTATTTTTTTCTTGATTTATTTTTTTCTTGACTCATCATCCATCAAGTGTTTGGTTACCCACATTCTCATTTTCATTTTTGGGTGAACTATACCTTTAATAGATGTCGTAAGAGACTTTTACTTTTAAACTTTTAAAAATTGTGAAGTCAAATAATCCTTGAAACCACACAGTCATATGGTTAAACCAACAAATAGCAAGAGCAAGGAAAAATAAGTAAATGATTAAATGATATGTAATGAATGATTATAAATGTCTAAAAATGAATAACAAAAACATCAAGACAATAAAACTAAACAGATGTGTGGTACACTCACATATTAGACAGATTAGATCCTGATCCTCAGATCCTTCACCCACAATGAGAGCATGAGCAGCAGTAGAGAGTGAATACATGGTAAATGTTTTTTTGTGAGCAGACGCTGCTGGATACAGTATCTTTCCTCAGCCATAAGGCCTCCTAATGCCCTGTATGAGATTGTCAGAAAGGGTTAGCAGGGCTCCACTGAGGTGTGTCCATGTGGAGATTATCTGCTGTTGATCATGTGTGGTTTTCTCTGGTGAATCATGTGTGTAGCTGATATCCGTCTGTGTCTCGTCTCTCTGCAGCAGTATCTGAGGCCGGTGGAGGATGTGGCCTCGGCTCAGGAGGATTGTTATAAATTCGCTGTGTCTCAGTCGAGCACTGGGACGGTAATGGGTGCCGTCATCATGGAGGGCTTCTATGTGGTGTTCGACCGAGAGCACAAACGCATCGGCTTTGCAGTCAGCACGTGTCACGGTGAGAGAAACTTTCTCTGAGGAACTTACAGTGGCCTCAAATGGTATCAGGACAATTACGCCTATGAGATTATGTTTGTTCCTTTATTCCAAATAAATCAATTATGATTCACAAATAAATGTAAAGAGATTCATAAAAACATATTTACAGATAAATAGAGTGAGATCCACAAATACAAGCTAGAGTTTCACTAAAATAAATGAAATTCAAAAATAATAAAATGAGATTTGCAAATTAAAAAGCATATCCACAAATACCTATTTTATGTCACAAACACAACTCTGCCTGGCATTCATTTGTGAATGGCTTTCTGTGCGTTTGTGGATTTTGAAACATTTCTAGCATCAAGACGTGCTGACAAATCCACAAATAGGTGGACTCCACCCACCGTCTGCTCAAGCCAATCAGATAACAGCCGCTCGTCGCTGACCAATCGTAGCATGTTCTCGCTATAACCAATCACATTTTGTTTTACAATCAGGGTGCTCTCGCCCTGAAAGAACTTTGCTCATTCATCTGCATTGGCTGAGAGAGGAAGTATAAGGTCCATTAAAACTAGTACAGTAAAACATGTTTAAGATTTGCATTTCGTTAGACTGTGTATCAAGCCAAGCCACAGTATTATATGTTACGTGCCTTTGAAAATTCCAAATCCTTCGAGAAACGGCGCTCTCTGTTATGGGAACAACACAAAGTTGGATACAGACGCATTATGGAAGGGGTCATGTTTGGTATTAAACATGATGTTTTGTGCCGTGTGTACTATGCTGCTGTGGTGTACTCCAGAAGTAGAACGGGTCATCTGTTTACCGCCGGTGACTCGTCATGTCACACCGCGTCCAGTGTAGACAGTATCATTGATTATAATGTGTTCTATGTACTTTTGGCGTGTTGTGTCGCGCCGCTCGCGTCAGGTGTAGAGAGGGTGTTTTAGCTCGGGATCTGTGAATGATCATAATTTGTGTATATTCCTGAGGTTATCCTGATGGAAATATAAATATAAAGAAGCCTTAAACTCCGATAATCTTTTGGACACATGGTGTTTCATCCACACAAACAGCACTTCAGCTCAATTTGAACAAAGGGCCACGTTTCTTTCAGAGGAGCGAAATGTATCTGTTCCCAACTCCCTGATTGTAAAGCAAGTCATGATTAGTTATAGTGAGACTTGTACTTTTTGGAGCAACTGTATTTAATGTGGTTTAATAATCATTGTTATTAATGTTGTGTTTCATCTGCAAGAACACCAGTAATACATACAGAGTCATATTACATTCTGGAGTTAGGCTGTTTGTTCAGAGGCTTAGCAAGATAACTGGGACACTCATTAATTCTCATTACTACAATGCAAAAACATTACCTTAACCCTAACAACAACAAAACATTAATGTCATGCAGATTAAAAAAACACAGACTGCATCCAGACATCCAGGATGTTTTATTATAGTAATGAGAAATCATTATTGAGATTCATGAATGAGATGTCACCTACCTTATTGTTTGTTAATTCTGCGCTGTAGTCCACGATGAGTTCCGCACCGCTGCAGTGGAGGGGCCGTTCCATGGCGTGGACCTTGAGGACTGTGGCTACAACGTCCCTCAGACCGACGAGTCCACATTAATGACCATCGCCTACATTATGGCGGGCATCTGTGCACTATTTATGCTGCCTCTGTGCCTCATGGTCTGTCAGTGGCGCTTCACGCGCTGCCTTCATCCGCTGGCCACTGGAGATTTCTCTGATGACATATCCCTCCTGAAGTGAGCCATTTCTAAACGCAGAATGATTTCAGTGCTTGTAAAACCGGCCATCCTCGAGGGTCTCAAAGAAGGGGAATTGATGATATTGATGAGACTACAGTGATTATAACTATATATGTTATAATATTGCATATGCACACACACACACACCCTAATGGGTGTCCCACCTTGGAGGATTTCGTACCCTCTGACCCTTTTTGAGTACATGTGATATGTGAATGATCCTTTATCTTACAGACTTAAGTGTGGATAGCTGTTCTGGGACTGTTCAAGTGAAGTTCTGTAAAGTTCTCTATACTATGTGAGTGAGTGTGTCTGTGTTTGAAAGTTAGAGAGAGTTTGTTCACTATATCAAGATGTCATAATCTATTATATGATCAACACTGACTAATTTTCAAAATGAATATGGGGTATAACAAAGTACTGTTTGAGTCACTGTTTATGACATAGCAGTACCCCAAAATACCATAAGGAGCTCATATTACTATTACTTACTAAGACAACATGATCTTCTGACTGTATTAGTTGAAAGCTTACAGTTAATAGACCTATATGATTTGTAATAATGAATGTCAGTGGGAGAGAACATGTCCAGTCATATTTTACCCCAATATCTAAAGGAAACAATAAAAAAAAAATTATTTAAACGTAAAGCCTATTTTTAGGACCAAGAGTTTTTTTCTTTATTTTCATGGCAATTTTAGTAACATTTTCTTTTAAATGTTCATTTCCTCAATGCAAATTAATAAATAAAATAATATTATTATTATATATTTAGTTTATGATTTAAACCATTTTAATTTATGCAGTGATCTTAAAATAGGATTCATTTTCTTTATGCAAATAAAAAAGTAATTGGAAATGAAAAAAATAAAATAATATATCTATTATCGATATCGATTTTGCGGTCAGATGTTACCTGGACACGTTTTCTAGAGATTTACTCTAGAACAGTAATATCTAAATTATGTAACAAATATTCATCAGCTTTTGTATCATTTCTCTGGACACATACTGTATGTAATGATGACTTCATATTGCAAATATGATTGCACACACACACACACACACACACACACACACACACACCCCAACAATAAATGCACCTATACAATTGCTGCCTATCATTTTGCATATAATAACTCACATTAGGAAAAGCACACACTCTCATACATCATCTTAACCAAACCTTCAGATTAAGCCAGAACAAAACATGTCTACACTGAAAGATCTGCAAAACAGGTTCCTACTGCTAACAAACTTCATGTATTAATGAAAATTCAAATTGGCAGCTCTTACATTTAATAAAGTGCATAAAACACCAATGTGTGTATTTCTTGGCGAGTGTGTGATTGTTTATTGTATATTGTTTATTTGGATCCCCATAAGCTTCCACAAAGTGGTTGCTAATCTTCCTGGGGTCCACAAATCTGTACAAAATAACAAAAATCATACAAATAATTCAAATAAGAACAAAAATAAAATTACACTAATCACATCACAAAACTAATGACTGCACCACATCTTTTAAAACTAAAGATGGAATAAATGCAGAACATTTCCTAGCCACAGCTATACCTTTTCCCATAATGCTTACTATATGATCGGACCAGGACAGCGTATTGTACCAGTGTAACCCCTCTGGTCCTAACCGCCCCACCTCATTATTGTTCCAAGTGGGACTCGAACCCGGGTCACCGGCATGGGAGGCAGGCGCACTAACAAGGAGGCTAAAGGAGGCCTTCTAGCTGGCCTCTATTACACCAGGACAGCGTATTGTAAAGTTTCACACCCAACAACTTAACATTTGTTACTTGTTCCACTGGCATCCCATCAATAAATAAATTCAAGTCAACAGCCTTAGTAATATTATTATTATGACTAAAAATGATACATTTAGTTTTTTCTATATTTAAAATTTATCTATTAATTCAAACCCACTTAGTAATTGTTTGCAGCTCATCACTTACGTTTTTCTGAAGCTCAGCTGATGTATGTGCTGCAGAAAACATTGTAGAATCATCTGCATACATAACTATATTAGCATTATCAACAACATATGGTAAATCATTTATGAAAATAGAAAACAATAATGGTCCTAAACAACTACCCTGTGGAACACCACAGTAAGTATTTTTAGCGTCTGAAAAAGATCCATTATAAAACACTCTGTTTTCTATTAGAAAGATAACTTCCAATCCAGTCCAGGGCTGTAAGTGGCTTTACTTTATACTTTTGTTTGTTCCATCTACTATCAACAGAACAAAACTTTTGAAGTTGTCTTGTTGTTGATGAAGCATCTCTCTGTAAAATTCTCTCTGCTGTTCCATTAATAGAGAAAGTGTACTCATTGTGAACACTGAACCATCATCAGGAGGTGCAGTTATAGTTTGTTTGGGAGGCATGATGTCTTACCACGATGCAAACGTTCAAACTCAAGTGGCGTGTATGTTGAAGGCCCAGGCCTACAGGGCCTAGCCCGGTTGAAACTCCAAAGTTGAAAGGCAAACCAACTTGTCAAGAAGCTCAAAAATGTCCACAATTCATATCAGTAAAATAGGATTTACTTCATTTGATCTACAAACAATGAAAAAATAATAATTATATTTAAGATTAATTTGATTCAAATCGGATTAAGATTAGGCCTGCCAGCTGCGGTTGAGGTGGTTGAGGCGATACAACATGGAAAGCTTTGTTTCCCCCTTGTGGACAGAGCAGAGGTACTCATTTCTGAGTTCTCGGCAAAGGAATTCTGAGACTAGAGATCAGATAATTGTAGCTTTACCAGATTTGATGGAAGATAACATTAAACAATGGTGTTCTTAAAATAACATGATTAAAGATTGTTTCTGCCTCCCAAACAACACTATGAAGCTATGAAACTGTTCCAGAGTTTGGTCACTAAACAAGATCTACCGTCCACAGTTGATTTTAATGTGCTAGGTGTTATCAATGCCAGAATTTTGAGAAAGCAGTGATTCTTTATTTCTTGTTAATTTAGCCAAAAGAAAAAGAAAGAAAAAATCGATGGTCGATCGTCGTCTTTTTTCCTTCTAAAAGACTTTTTCTATATCTTTTTTCTGTATGTAGAAACACTATCCTGCCACTATCTTCTTTTTTTTTTCAGCTGCGCTCCGCTTTGCGGGCTGTTCTGTTGAGGGTGCAAGGCTGCCCGTTATAGGCCTTTATCCCACTTCTGCATTCGTAGCCTGTATAGGCAGTGTAGCCTGTATCAATGGCAGTGCCCATAGCACAAGATTGTTGTACAGTTCATCACAGATACTTCATTTAAATCCATCAGCCTCAGTTTACAGTCATTAATTGGGTATGATGAAACAAAGAAAAATGGTGTAGTGTTATTCCATGCATTTAATAATTTAAAGGGGAGTGCAAAATCCTATGTGCAGCACTACAGAGTCCGACCATCTATTTTATGAAAGAAATGCAAGAAGAGAATACAAAGAACATATCACATTACACAGCATTAGAATTAAACAAGGGTATACATATTAATTCAAGTAAAGACTATACAAATTAAACAATAAGTGTTTGCACTGTTTTCATGAACTTGTTTTACTTCCCAGAACAATCAAGTATTAGATCAAATTGAAGTTGTTCAAATAAAGTCATATTTCCTGCCCAAAGTTGATTAATCAGAAATAACTGGTTTGATCAAGCTTTCCAGGTTGTGAGTTCAATGATTGTATAGCATTATATTGTAGACAAGATTGGAGATTAACATGCCACAACAATAACAATCGTCACTGGGCTGGTTCTCAAAAAGGCAAGTAGAGGAATGGCAGCACCCCAGGAGGGATGAAGACTCTTTACAGGTCAGGTCTACTCGAAAACGTGTCCAATGATCCACAAAACCATCCAGCCATTTAGTGATGACAGTCTGCTATCCCAGATAGCATGGTGACATTGATACAATGTTGAGTTTTGATCCAAACCATAATTTTGGTTGAGATTGACATATCAATGTTTGATCAGTATGTTGGATCAGCATTGAAATATTGATGAAAGTCGACAGCACACACGGGTAAAGACGGTGACACTGAACTAACAGTGATTTGTAGTTGATGACCACAAGATCATGCTGACATGTATCTCTGCAGAACACTAGTGGGTTTGTCTCAATCAGTGGGTCGTGTGAAACCATGATGGCAAATTTTCAATTGCTTTAGCCGATTTGTTCTAATCCACTGGGGGCTTGGTTTAGGGGTGGGCCTTCATGATTTTAGCCAGTTTGTTTAAAAATGGTTGAAAATCACCAATTTACTGTGGCCTAATAGTGCACAACACAACGCAATTAAAAAAGCAAACATAAGCTCACAGCACAACGCAATTCAAAAAGCAAACATAAGCTCACAACACAACGACATTAAGCCACAACACAACGGAAATGCTCCCGACCACTGGGGGGCAGAGTTGACAGTTAAACACCGATATTTCCTCGAGACGCCACAAGAAATTCTCAATGTAAGCGATTGATCTTAATATGTGTAATCGATTTGTAAATGAACAATGTGTTTTTACTGAATGTTTTGATATCCTGGTAATTTTAATGTATCGATTCATGAATCGAGCAGAAAATAAATCAATATTATTTTCGATTTGGACAGTTTAGCTCTGCTCTTGCGCACAATGGACTCTATGCATGGTCACTTCCGCATTTTTCCTCAGGGGGCTTACTTAAATCCGGTGCTGTGCCGAAAGCCATTGTTCCTTACGTAGAGCTTTTAGAGCTTTCAGAGGAGAAGATGGTTTTTCAGCTTACAAGAACTTCACCGGATTACTGTAAATGAATTTAATGAATTTAAGAAGGGCATTAAACGTTTCAAGTTACATTGACAACTTTAGGGTGAGTATTGTTCTATCGTCTTCTAGCAAATCTTGCTAATAAGGCTGGATAACGCTGCATGACTTCTGCGCCGATTTGATCAGCACTTAAATAGCAGGGCTAAGTTAGAGTTTAGCTTTAAACTCCGTCCACCTCAGGTTTTTATAACTCCTAAGAGATAGTAGCAATAACATCAGAGCTCCCGGTAATCCACGTTTGTTTGCATCTGTGGCTGTGATAGGAACGTCTTAACTTGATATAAAGTATTTTAAATACTGTTCCCATTTTTAGATTGCCATGTATCGTAATAAACCTTAAGTCTGACCGTTTCTGGCAGTTTATCGTTATATTTTCCTGAAGCTTGAATTGATAGTTTACATTTAATATAGCAGTTTTCCAGGGATCCCTAACACAAACATGATGAAGCTGTTCAGTAAAAAAGCAATTAAGAATAGAAGCAAACAAGATCAGGAATGGTTAAGAGTAGGGACATCCTTTGAAATATTACTTAACTCTTTACAGTGTATTGGCATGTTTGTAACATTATATAGACTTAATTCTTCATAATTTATTTTAAATATAGTTTAATTTACAATGTAACAATTTAAAATGCAACTGAAAGTAATTCAAAATGTATCTGAAATCAATTCAATATGTAACCCAATGCAATTATCTTCACAGATTGTTTTAAAGGACTCCCATCCATACTGTTGCAGCACTGTACCAGACAGCACACTATTCAGAACTGAGAATCAGTGCAGTTCCTCCTGTACAGAGCTGCACTGAATGGAGCAGAACTGGCACAAACCTAGAACAATGGTAAGATAATTATAAAATTCTTTAATGAATGACATAATTAATAGACTTTTTATTAATAATATTAACATGCCCCATTGGTATGCCTAGAGAGTTAAGCCAGGTCCTGTCAGTGGGATGGTGGTCCTGTTTGCAAGAGAGGAAACTCGCTGAGTGGTTAAGGTAGGAGTAGACTGTCTAATTACATATTTTCATATCTTGCTATATTCATAATGTATAACATGCCTATATGATTAGCCCTAGCAGAAAAAAGACAAAAACACAATCATATTGGATATGGCTCCATTCATAATGTATGCAACATGTAATGACAGTGGTGGAAGATTTTTATTTCTTTAATGGTCAATTTACACTATACCTTTGTTTTTCATCTCAGGAGAATGTTTACAGTGGCGTCACAGTGATCTGCTTGGCCTATCAGTCCTCCAAGTGGCAGAAGTGTTAAAAAACCATAGCATTACACTATCACAGTTATTAGTATTTTAAATAACTATTACACTGTATCAAAGTTTCTAAAATGTACGTGTTTATATTTACATGTTTAGATTACACTAGTGAGCAAGAAACTGTATTAAAGTTATATATATATTTGCATTTACATTATATTTAATATTCTAGTCTGTACAAATAAAACCAAATTAATCCATCCCAAGTGTTTTGTGTAAGGCCAGATCTCTCTGTGGAAGACTGACTGAAAGGTGGACCATGAAGAGGAGGAACTCATCGAAGGGCTGCAGAGACTGACACTGTCAAAATACATTTTAAATAATTATGATACATGCATGTAACGTGCACATCAAAAAATAAAAATAAATAAAATTTTCTTTGTCACAAATAATATAATATCAATATTTACCATTGCATTGCTTGTTATTCCAACTTCTCTCCTCGTTGTAGCTGTCCTCGCTCTGGTCACACAAACCATGTGGAATGCAGGTTCAATAACTCTCCAAAA